CCATCGCTTCTTAGGTTGGAGGCCATCGCTCATCGGTTGGAGGCCATTGCTCATCGGTTGGAGGCCATCGCTCATCGGTTGGAGGCCATGGCTCTTAGTAGGTTGGAGGCCATCGCCCTTAGGTTCAGCACCGCTGAGGCTCTTCGCACGCCACCCTGGCGGCACGGAGGTGCTGCGCCAGGCCACAGGCGGCGACGCCACGGAGGCCTTCGGTTCGCACAGCGCCTACGCCCGGGCCTGGGCTGACCGCTACGTCATCGGCGTCTTGGTGGAAGTTAGTAGCTTCTTGCTCCTAGTAGTGAAGCGAAGCGAAGCGAAGAGCGATGGCTTCCAACCGAGAAGCGTTCTTGCTCCTAGTAGCGATGCCAGGAGCCCCTAGTAGCGTCCTTGCTCCTAGTAGTAAGGCCAAGAGCCCCTAGTAGCTTCTGGCTACTAGTCTTGGAAAAACTTGCAAAGGATTTCATATCTTGTTTTAGTGCAATGTTTTTGGGCTCAAGGATTTCATCATTTGCTGGCTCACCGCAAAATGTTCGCCTTTAAATTGGAACTTTTTAAATGCGCTACCGAGCACATAAGTATATCATATCTTCAATTTCACCTTAAATGTTTGAAATCCTTCCAAGGGTGAAGTTTCCTTCTGAAGTGTTCATTTGTCCCCGCTGCCCTGATACCCGACCCCTTCTTCGAAACAGCGCTGAGAATTGTGTCAGTTCTCTACCAAATCGATCTCCTTGGCCTTTGGTTGAGCGTGATACTGTGTTGAAGGAAGGTGCAGGCAGACAGTACTCACCTGCTGTAGGGTCCTTGTCGTGTCCTTGTGTGAATTGGCCAAGGTTTCTGTCCCGAGATTTACAATCAGGCATGCGTGGCACGGTTTTGAGAAGGACAAGAAAGGCAAGAAATAGACTTAAAAGGTCTTTAAGACATAAAGACAAAAGGAAAAGGAAAGGACACACCACAGGAAAAAGGAAAACGAGAAGAACAACGGTCAAACACGGTCAAACTAAGGCCTCCTTTTTCTACTCTATAGTAGAAAAGTATAGAGAAGGACAAAACACATTTAAAAACACTTGTCCCTTTTTTCCGTTCTTTTCAATTTAAAGAAGGAAGACCCAAGGCCAATGCTTTCTTGTCCAGGCCATCCCGTTTCGATTGGCTCCTCCATCGAGTCGATGCTGTGAAACGATCGTTTCTTGGCGTTTGGAGAGAGCCGTTGACCACATCATACAAATTGTAGCTTCTTGTTACTACTAGTAAGGCACTTGTTACTAGTAGCGATGCACTTGTTACTAGTAGCTTCTTGTTACTACTAGTAAGGCACTTGTTACTAGTAGCGATGCACTTGTTACTAGTAGCTTCTTGTTACTACTAGTAAGGCACTTGTTAGTAGCACAGCAAAAGGGTGAATGGATACTCTTCAAAGCAGGATCGGCACTTTTCGACAGACGCTCAACGTCCGGGCTATGGCTACACAGGAGCCTTTAGAGCTCCTACTGGGGTTTAGCCTATGCCGTTGTTACTAGTAGCTTCTGGTTCCTAGTAGCGATGCCCTTGTTACTAGTAGCGAGGCCCTTGTTAC